ATTAGTGTGTAAAATATAGATTTGATAAGGAGTACGGTCTGGGTTTGGCAGTCAGTGAAAAGTGATAACAATAATTTTCAACAATTTTCACATTTGTATGACACTTATATGCTATAGTGACCTGATCTCAGCAATTCCTTCAGATATTGCATTATTGTCTCAGATAGTAATCTGTGCCAAATTTCGTGAAGATATCTTGTCAAATAAAAAAGTTTTCGTACAAGAATTCGAATTTAGTCGGTCAGTTTGTATGACAGCTATGTGCAATACTTGTCCGACTTGAGTAATTTTTTTGGAGTTTGTAAAGTGATATTCGATAATAATCTGTGCTAAATTTCTGTAAGATATTTTGTCAAACAAAAAAGTTTTCCTTACATAAACTTGATTCTGATCGTTTAGCTTATATGGCAGCTATATGCGATAGTGATCCGATATCGACTATTCCAACAAATGAGCAGCTTCTTGGGAAGAAAAGGACATGTGTCAATTTTTATATCGATATCTCAAAAACTGATGGACTGATGCGCATATACACATACAGCCTTACAAACGAGTACTAAATATACCCTGTTCGAAATATAAGAAGTTTAGATACAATAGGCCTCTTTTAATAGCTCTAAGCCACACTTAACAGACTGTAAAATCATAAAACCACATATTTCGCCATGCAGTCAGAGTTATTCCCCTTTATATAACGGGTTGTTTTGTGGTTTGCTGAGATTGTGGCAATACCATGCCGAGATAATACCAAACATAGTCACAAACAAACATATTAAATTACATGCATTTTCATGGAATTTCAGGCATGCATACAGGAATAAATGTATGCACTAATAAAATAGTGTTTCTACATAAAATACATTTCAGCATTTTGGTTATATGCATTTGATAATACCTCGAACATATCGTAAACTAAACATATGTGTAAACACATAAAATAGTTAGATAACATACATAAATACGCATAAGCACATGCATTGGGTTGCACAATTAAAACAACTCAAAATGCACAATTCTGTACAAATACATATACAGAGATGCACATTAGGGTGGGTAAAAAAAAAAAAATTTTTTTTTGTTTGATGCTAAAAATCGGCTGCTAAACACCTCTAAGCAAGGCTATATGCTATAAAATATACACAAATGCACATTAGGGTGGGAAAAAAATTTAATTATTTAAATTAAGTAACCACTTATTACCACATAATGCATTTTGAAACGAGTTTTAATTACTTCTTTAAGAGCTGTCTCTTATACACATCTAGATGTGTATAAGAGACAGATTTTAACGAGAATATATTGTTCGCATTATAATAATCGAAAAAAAATTAAAAAATTAAATTTTTTTTTTCATTTGGTATTGTGAAAAATTTGACTGATAGACCTCTCTAAGAAAGGCTCCCCAAGTATGTGCTCTTAATTGTAATGGAGGCGGAGGAGCTTTCGTAAGTTTGGATTTTCTTATTATCGAGAGTCAAATTTGTATCTCGTATCTCTTTCTTTTGAAGAAAATTCAGTGTTCTGCAAAAAAGGTCTATAACAATTCTTTTGTAAGCCTAACCCTTTATAAGAAATTAACTGATTAAGTTTGATTATTAAAAAAAAATCATTATAAAATTTATAACTCAACACAAAAAAAAATTTATAAATCGAAAAACTCCTACTTTTGTTGGTATTTACTATTCTAAAAAAAATGTCGATTTATTTTTTTTTAATCATGTTATTCATGCAACCTGTTGGTGCAGTGTATAGTAGTTTTGTTCACCGAATGGTTGTATGTATCACCCAAATCTAATCGTGATAGAAATAGGGTTATCTATATATAAATGATCAGGGTGACGAGTCGAGTTGAAGCCCGAGTCTGTCCGTTCGTCCGTCCGTTCAAGCTGTAACTTGAGAAAAAATTGAGATATCCTACTGCAACTTGATAAATATGCGGTTTGGCAAAAAGGTAAGAATGAGTTCGCCTATGGGATAAAAATTGTCCAAATTCCATTAAAACTGCTCAACCCCCTAGGTACCGAATATTTCAACCACAGTACCTATAGCTGACTTTTTACTGTAAATATCGGTCAATGTATGAGTTATATAATTGAAATTCAGACATAATCCTTTCCTCACAACAGCATGCCTGTATATCAAAAATGGGTTGAATCGGGTCAACACTTTCCTTAGCTCCCATACACCTAATACCACGATTTTCGAACTTCCGAGTGACTTTATACCGCATATATTGGCCAATATGTGAGTTATCTCAAGGAAAATAAGAGAACGTGTTTTAATTTGTGCCTAAAATAGATCAGCGAAAACTAGACCTATGTAGTACCTACATATATAACTAATGTCAGGATTTTTGGAAATCCTCCGGACTTTACTCCATATGATTGGTGATTGTATGTGAGGTACTTTATGACACCCGTGAACACTTCTTTGACTCACCCTAATATATAATACATACATACATAAAATTAGATAATTTACATTTTTTACTCACCCTAATATACATATATTTATTTAATCAGATAAGTTAGATTTAAAAATTGTATAAAAGCAAAGGAAATACCGAATAAATATTAGAATGCATTAATTCTCACTCAATATAAGTCTTTAATACCCCCCCACCAGCGGTAAGGTATTAGAGAAACTGTATCGAGTAATAGCAGAGTTGCTTTATTCCGCGTTAGTTTCGGGCTATATACTCATTTCCGATACATAAATTATATACATAATAGGTGGGTCTCTACGCTACTCAAATGCTTATGTTTTAAGGAATTTAGAACCTGTAACTCTGAAGAAAATCCTCTTAGCCTGAGTTTGATATTGGCATTTGCTACAATCAAGAGAAGAAAATCATTAATAGATATCGCGATATCGTGTCTGCTATGTTTCTACATTTTCTACAGCAATCTTTGCATAATACATGCTAGTCAGTTAAAATAGACACGCATATCAGCTGTTCATGCAACATCCGGCATAGTTGGAACTGCCGCTAACACCAACGAATCGATCAACATATCGGACGTGTTGAATTGGAAGTGAAACTTCCGTCATCCATTCATTTCGTTGAGCAATGCAAGTACTCATACTTATTACCGTTATTACAGGTACATGTACTTGATTTTGTGTAGTATCGACGACATTGGGTGGGCGTTGCATTCAAATCTTGCAATTTTTTTTCAGCTTCGCTTGAATGCAATAAAAGAGTTGTGTCAATAAGAAAGTTGTATAACGTTTATGTCACGCGCAGTATTTATTTGATACCAGTGTGTTCGATTCGCAACTCTCCAATTTTTACAATTAATATGTCACAGATTAATAAAATGCTCCTAGGCTTTCATCAACGTATCTCACATGCAATCACCAATTACATGGAGTAAGATCAGCCGGATGTTCGAAAATCTTGTTATGGGTCATAGATGGTCTAGGTCAAGTTTTCGTTCAATTTTATCTATTTTAGTTATAAGTAAAACATACTCTTTCATTTTCAATCAGATAACTCATATATTGACCGATAAATTTGGTATAAAGTCACCCGGGAGTTCGAAAATCGTTGTATTAGGTATATGGGGCTAAAGGAAGTATTGATCCGATTCAACCCACTTTTGACACACCGACATACTATTATCAGGAAGAATTTTCTCTGAATTTTTAATTATATAACTCACACACCTCGCTCTGGTCGACCTGTCGTTGAAAAAATCGATGAAATTATGGAAAAGAAAATATTGACCAGGACCGTCACATAGGCAGCCAAGGTATCCCTAAGGAACTTAACATTCATCATAAAACGGTTTTAAACCATTTAAAATCATAAGCAGCTCAATGTTTGGGTACCATATGCATTGTCTGTGAAAAATTTAATGGACCGCATTAACATCTACGATTCTTTGCTAAAACGAAATGAAATCGAACCATTTCCGAAGCGAATGGCAATAGAAGACGAAAAGTGGATTAAATACGACAATAATGTGTGAAAAAGATTATGGTCCAAGCGTGGTGAAGCTCAACAAATGATCGCAAAGCCAGTATTGACGCCTCGAAAGGTTATGCTGAATGTTTGGTGGGATTGAAAAGGAATTATGCACTCTGAACTGCTCCAGCCTGGTCGAACGATTGATTCTACATTTTACTGTCAACAACTGATGAGATTGAAGCAAGCAATCGAAAAAAATCGGTCAGAACTGATCAACAGAAAGAGCTTCGTTTTCCATCAGGGCAACGCTAGAAAAAACACAACTTTGATGGCTCGGCAAAAACTCGGAGAGCTTGGCTGGAAAGTTTTGATGCATCCACCATAGAGCCCTGACCTTGCATCATCGGACTACCATTTTTTTCGGTCAATGCATAACTTGCTTATTGGAGTAAAGTTGGCTTCAAGAGAAGACTCTGAAAATTAATTGTCGCAGTTTTTCGCCGAAAAACCAGAAAAGTTTTACACTGATGGAATAATGTCTCTGGCGGAGAAATAGCAAAAAGTGGTCCACCAAAATGGGACATATTTAGTTCATTAAAATTCATTATAAATATCAAAATAATAAGATGAAGTTTGATTAGATATACGAAAAGACTTTTTCGACTACCATATATCTACATGCATATTTCACATACATATGTATGTATATATTTTCATATATTATATTTCATTCATACCATGCCTCTTATGCTTCTTTACAGATCCAGTTAATGGGCAACACATTCGAACGTTTTCGTAATACATTCGTTTTGAACGAAGCTTAATCATCTGGGTACTTGGCAACAAAAGCTTTAATTAAAGAACAACAGCAATACATATGTATATTTGCACAAAACTATCAGTGGAATAATTAAAACTAAACAAGCAAACAAAGAAACAGAAAACCAAAAACAAAAAACTTAACAAACAACAAAAAAAAAAAACTAAAGCAAAAACCAAAAAGGAAAAACCAAAAGGAAAAAGGAAAAAGGAAAACTGTTATTGTAACTAAGGAAAAAAACACATAAGACAACAACAACAACAAATCAAAATGGGTCCACTATTTTTTGCACGTCTGGCAATGCCGGCGCACGGGCCGCCAAGCATATTGGAACCGCTGGCACCGTCATTCCGCACAACAACCACATCGACGACGACGACCACAACAACAACTACGACAACCACAACAACACTAGCGCCATCTGTATTTACCGCTATGTTGGACAATGTGACCACAGTGATTATCTTAGATAATGAAATAGCACAAAATCAAACAAACGCCACCGGCATCTACGGCCCAAAGGGACCCAGCTATTCCATCTCATCAATGGTGTTCATGGGCTTAATTGCCGCCATACTCAGCTTGCTAACGGTGGCGGGCAATGTTATGGTTATGATCTCATTCAAAATCGACAAACAACTACAAACAATCAGTAATTACTTTCTCTTCTCATTGGCCATTGCCGATTTCGCCATCGGTCTCATATCGATGCCATTGTTTGCGGTCACCACCATACTCGGCTATTGGCCGTTGGGTCCACATATCTGCGATACATGGCTCGCACTGGATTATCTCGCGTCGAATGCATCCGTGCTGAATTTGTTGATCATCAGTTTTGATCGTTACTTTAGCGTCACGAGACCCTTGACATATCGCGCTAAACGTACCACCAATCGGGCGGCGGTCATGATTGGCGCCGCTTGGGGCGTAAGTCTGCTGTTGTGGCCACCGTGGATTTACAGTTGGCCATATATTGAGGGGCAACGCACGGTGCCGCAATACGAATGCTATATACAGTTTATCGAGACCAATCAGTACATTACATTTGGCACAGCATTGGCGGCGTTTTATTTTCCAGTGACGATTATGTGTGTGCTATACTATCGCATTTGGCGTGAAACGAAGAAGCGTCAGAAGGACTTGCCCAATCTGCAGGCGGGCAAGAAGGACTCGTCAAAGCGCTCGAACTCAAGGTAAGCGCTGCATGCTTTTATGTTTCTAATATATGATAAAGCTATATAATTTTTGTTTTGCTTGCAGTGACGAGAATACCGCTGTCAATCACACGGGCATGTTGCCCTTTGGCAATGCGGGTGACGGCCATGATTGGCGGCGGCCGCGTTCCGAATCCTCTGCCGATGCTGAGAGTGTTTATATGACCAATGTGGTCATTGATACCGGTTATCATGGCCTACATTCACGCAGATCAAGTGTGAGTATTGGCTAATATAGAATATTTGATTTAAAAAACTCTTACTTTCAAAAAGTTATTTTTTTATTTACAATCGACATTAATAATCGTTCAGTTTGTACGGCATCTACATTCTATAGTGGTTGGATCGCAACAATTTCTTCGGCCTTAGACAATAACCCATGCCAAAATTTTGAAAGATATCTCGCCAATTGACAAAACTTTCCATACAAGCACTTCATACCCATCGTCCAGTTTGTATGACAGCTTTATGTTATAGTAGTCTGATCTGAATAATTTCTTGGTATATTGTAGCTTCGGCTTAGATAAGAATCCGTGTCAATTTTCGTGGAAATATATCGTCAAATAAAAAAGTTTTGCATAGAAGAACTTGATTTTTATCGGTCAGTTTGTTTGGCAGCTATATCTTATTTTGGTCCGATTTGAATACTTCCTTCATATATTGTAGCTTTGGTTTGAATATTACTCTGTGTTGAATTTCGTGAAAATAACTCGGCAAATGAAAAAGTTTTTCATACAAGCACTTGATTCCAAGCGTTCAGTTTGTATGACAGCTATAGGCTATTTTGCTCCGATATCAGTAGTTCTGACAAATGAGCTGTTTCTTTAGGAGAAAACTATGTATGCAAAATTTCAGATCGATTTCACAAAAACTGAAGAACTAGTTCGCATATCTACAGACATATGTACACCAAACAGGCATGGCTAAATCGACTATGCTCGTCAACCTGACCATTTATAAATACTTTATAAAGTGTCCGACGTTTCTTCTGGGAGTTACAAACAAACTTTGATATACCTTGCTCAGAGTATAAAATTTTTGTATGGAAACTTATTACCAAACTTCCAAAATCACCTTAAAGGTGTCTTTTTAGAAAAATAAAGTCTACATTTAGGATTACAATGAAGTGACCAAGCTGTAGGGAAAAATTCAGAAAATATAAACAAATTTACTCTCTAATTGCTTAGTCTCTACCGAAATGAATGTGGTACCTGTGTTACTTTATAAGTAAACGGCTTTTATTATAGCCTACATTTAGGCTAAAATAGGTAATATTGCTTTTGGCACTCTATAATGAGCAAACGCTTTATAATTTTATAAAAATTGTCATTACTATATGTTTTTGTTACCGTTATAACATTTGAATTAATTTTAAAATTATTTTAGAATATTAAAAAATAAATACGTAATAGTTTTTTTGATATATTTAAATTTTTTTTACGGTGTATATTTACTATTTTTATACACTTTTTTAAAATATATTTAATTTTTGTAAACTTTTTTTTGTATACTTAATATTTTTTATACATATTTAAGCTTTTACTAAAATATTTTTATTATTATTATTTTTATCCAATTTTAAATAAATATTTTACTATAATGCGCCCTTTTTCCTAACAGATCAAAAGCACCAATACCATCAAAAAATCATATACTTGCTTTGGTGGCATTAAGGAATGGTGTATTGCGTGGTGGCATTCTGGACGTGAGGATTCCGATGATTTCCCTTATGAGTTAGAGGAACCTTCAGATTATGGGTAAATTTAAAAATTTTTATTTTTATTGTTTAGTTCATTTAGAATTACAAAATACGGGATGTTTATAAAAAAAAAACAAATAGTTTGCATAATTTTAGGCGCTGGAGCTCGCCATCAATATTTATTAATTAAATATTTATAATTCTAAGAAATATTTTCCGATATGGTTAAATCGAAAAACCGGATTTTTATATATTATATGTAAATTTTTATTGCTTGCATGATTTTACCCGTTGGATAATTTAATATCATCCGAAATGCCGTCCAACAGAAATTATATTATAAATTAATCGATAAACGCTATTTTTTATAAAGAAAAGCTCTTTATTATGCATAATTTTAGGCGCTGGCACTAGCCATTAATTACTAAATAAATACTTGCTATTATTTCGAATATTTTCCAAAACGACTAAATCGAAAACGGTATTTTTTATATACATTTTTTTCATTTGCATAGTTTTTGGCGCTTATTGCCTTTTTATTATTTATATTTTTTGTAATTTATTATTATTAGATTGGCAATAACATTCTACGGTTTCTTAACACTTTCAGTTGCACTTCCGTGAGCGTGGTACGCGACAACTATTCACTAGGCGGCAGTGCCTGTGGCGTGCGTCCGCCAAGCATACTACTACCCGATGTCTCACCCACACCGCTACGCCCGCCCTTAACACCACTCTCGCAACTGCAAGAGATCTCTTCGGCATCGGGTGCACGCGATTCACGCTCCTTACCCGGCAATAATCGCATCAGTTCACGTTCGGTAAGTCAAGATTCCGTTTATACAATACTAATACGGCTACCCTCGGATGGGGCTACCGCCAATAATGGGACAGAAGCGCCATCTATCAAAATGATACACGAAGACGTATCGCTACCGATCATAAGCGCAGCACCGCCACCACGACGACCACTCTCATCACGTGATTCCGAATACAGTTTACCGTTGGGTCGACGCATGTCGCACGTTTCACACGATGTACGCATACCGCTCAATGCGAAGGTAATACCCAGACAATTGGTCAAACATGTGCATGCCACGTCGCGTGTCGTCGCCAAGAAGAAGAAGAAGTCACAAGAGAAGCGTCAAGAATCGAAAGCGGCCAAAACTCTATCGGCCATACTCTTGAGTTTCATCATCACCTGGACGCCATACAATATACTGGTGCTAATCAAACCGCTTACCACATGCTCCGATTGCATACCGAACGAACTGTGGCAATTCTTCTATGCGCTCTGCTACATTAACTCGACCATAAATCCGGTTTGCTATGCGCTTTGCAATGCATCCTTCCGTAAGACCTATATACGCATACTCACCTGCAAGTGGCACACACGCAATAGGGAGGGTATGACGCGTGGCGTGTACAACTGAGTAAGGCCTATGGAGGGGACGATTATGCGTCGCCGCGAGGGCAATGCTGGCCTCTTCGAATTGAAGCAGAATCCTAAAACTAATACATAATGAAAGTGCAAGCGTATGCCATAAGCTAAGTGCTGGCTTGGCGCTCGGTGCGGTACGGGGCGTTGCGTTGCGGCACGTGTGAAGCTAACGGTTTTCGTTGCTTTAGCTGGCGGGGAATCTGCATGAACATTGTGTATGTAGCATACTATTTGTATATTAGCGTTTATATGTTTCAGTAATGTGGTTTAGATATTGTCTTTACATATATTAACAATAGCAGTACATAGATATACTATATTGGTAAACACATACATACTCTACCATATACATATACTACATGGGTATAAAGTGGGTTCAGTTGGTTTCCGGTTTGTTGGAACTGAGCGCGTACTTGCGACATACATACATATATGTGTGTGTATTATATGTATAAGCAGGGTTGCGAAATTTTTTTGTTTAAAGAATTATGTATTGAAAATTAGGTTTTCTATTCATTCATGGTATTCAAAATTAAAAAAAAAAAAAATTTTAAATTAGTTTTAACTTAAAAAAAGTAAATGATTAAATTTTAATTATTTTTAAT